CCTCCGCGAAGAGGGGGAGCGACAAGTCCCTATTTACCTAATTTTTTAAAGCAACTCATTTCTTTTACATCTTCATTTTTAAAATATCCTTTAACTTCTTTAAATAGGAAAACCATATCCCTTGACAAAGGTAGAAGGTAATTCTAAAAAGAAATGCCATGAGCACTAATGCTGTGAGTAAATGCCTCCAGAACCTGCAGAAGCCTCTGGGTCCAGGTTTAGCTTCCTTTTTGGGACTAGAATGTCCAAATACAGCATCCCTAGCATTTGGTGATGTCCTTTTCTATAACACACTGGTACTTTCTCCTTATTTTGTTGCACTGAAGGGGAGGTAGAGAGGCATAACTGGTTGTGTCTGTTCCATGTGAGCCACCTGAAATCATCTGTGCCTAGGTGTTTCTGTCATAAGAGACCTCACTGGGAGGTATTTCCCCAAGCTCTGAGGCTGAGTTGGAGTCAGAGTTGACATAAAAATCTGGCCTACTCTGAGGAAAGTAGGAGCAAGCATCAAGGGTCCCACTACCCCAAATTGTACCTTGGTGGAAACTGGAATACAAGTGTCCACTCTGAACAGATGAGCTGTGCAGTGTGCATGAATTGGAGAGAGGGCAGTATCTGTGCAAGTATTTGAAAAAGGCTCTCTTTCTCCAGGCCAACATAGCTTTCTGTCTGGCAGCACATGAATTGGATTTTGGCCCTACTTATCCCCTTGGCTCAGTGCCCTTGTGCAATGAGCAGTGGGCACAACTATGGGTAATGGTATGCCAAGCATTACCTAAGCCTCAGCACTGCTACTAGTTACTACTCATTCATAACTCAGTGGCTGACCTTTTAGGGCTATCTATGGTATACCCCTGCTATCCAACCCAAATTTCTTTCCATTCCCAGCTTTAGGGCTGGGCATTCACTCAAGAGCACTTCCCTGGGGACTCCCAAGGGGAAAATGTATTATAGAAAAAAAAACCATACATGAGGGTACTTAAAGCCATTCATGGAAAATGGAATTAAAAGATAAACTTATTTCAGTGCAAACAAAAAAACTGAAATCCATGCATATGAGAAGTCTTCAAAAAAATAGGTCATTGAGATGTGTACTATGGAAAAACTAAGTATGGATTTCATAGATTTATTTGCATCAAGATAACCTTTTCCATTTTCCATGAACTTTTTGAAGTATCTTCCTATAATTATATGGGAGAAGAAAGGAGATGTTAGAAATTTCCTTGAGAATAAGAGAGGGAGGAGATGTACAGTTCAGCACATGCTCAATCAGACTTGCCCCTAACAGTAGAGTTAGAAACGTGCCAGGGGATTCCAATTCAATCCCATCAAGGTAGCATGTACCAATGCCATCTCACTAGTCAAAGTGACCAGTTTCAGTTTATAATTGATCATAATGATAGGAGTAAGAGTCAAAGGGATCACATAAACAAGACTAGTGTCTGCAAATACTGATAGAATTAAAAAGGAAAGAATGGTCCAACATGGGAAGCAGGATACACAGCAGACTCATAGAATGACGGATGTCCTAAACAGCACTCTGGCCTCAGAATCAGCCCTTAAGGCATGCGGATCCGGCTGAAATGCCCATGAGAGTATTTCAGGCATGGAAAGCCAAGACACTCTGGCAAAAAAAAAAAAAAATGAAAGATCTCTGTGAGTGAGATCCCAGCAGAAAGAACGGGCCATCAAAGGAGGTACCTTTCTCTGAAGGGAGGAGAGAACTTCCACTTTGACTATGACCTTGTCTAAATAAGATCGGAGTTGGCGAACTCAAGAGGCTTCCATAGCCTTGGCAACTCATGACAAGAGCCCAAGGAGATTTCTGACGCCATAAACAAGAGTGTCAATTGTTAAATCAACAACAGGAGTCACTGTGCACTTACTCCCCATGTAGGATCTCTGTCCTTAATGTGTTGTGCTATGTGAATTAACAGTATAACTAGTACTCAAACAGTATTTTATACTTTGTTATGTGTGGGTGCAAACCATTGACATCTTTATTTAGTACATACTAAATTGATCTTCTGTATATAAAGATAATTGAAAATGAATCTGGATGTGAATGAGATGGGAGAGGGAGTGGGAGATGGGATGGTTGCAAGTGGGAGGCAGGTTATGGGGGGGAAAAGCTGCTATAATCCAAAAATTGTACTTTGGAAATTCATATGAATTAAATAAAAGTTAAAAAAAATGAAATCCCCTTGACAGTGCCAAATGCCCTCCAATTTGGGTTTACTTCCAGTAGCCCTGCCCTAGCATATTTGACATTGAAGGTTGGCTCTGGAGAAGTACCCCATGACGGAGAAGGCTAGGCTCCTTCCAGTCATGCTGAGAGAGACTGAGTAATTAGGTGAGTTTGCAGGTATGCATGCCCCTTTTGCCCACAGCACACACTAATGAACATCAAGTCAAGGGAAGTTATTGAAATTAGAACTGACAACAAGAGGATCTATTGTTTAAGAAAACAGCTTTTGACTGTCTGAAGACAACTCTGCCCTGCAAGATTAGAACATCGACAAGAGTTGGTTCAAGTAACAAGACTGCATTAAAAACACTACAGAGAGCAGGGCAGCAAGAGTATTAGCCCTGAATGAAAGCACATTTTTATTAGTTTGCTTCTTCTTACGCTCTGAATGCTAGGGAACACAAAGCCCATGGTAATTTTTTTTAAAGATTTATTTATTGATTTGAAAGAGTTACACAGAGAGAGAAGGAGAGGGAGAGGGAGAGGGAGAGGGAGAGAGAGAGAGAGAGGTCTGCCATCCACTGATTCACTCCCCAATTGGCCACAATGGCTGGAGCTGCGCCAATCCAAAGCCAGGAGCCAGGAGTTTCCTCCAGGTCTTCCCACATGGATGCAGGGGCCCAAGGACCAGGGTCATGCTCTACTGCTTTCCCAGGCCATAGCAGAGAACTAGATCCAAAGTGGAACAGCCAGGTCTCAAACCAGCGCCCATATGGGATGCTGGCACTGCAGACAGCGGCTTTACCCGCTACGCCACAGCAGGGAACCCCCCCCCACCCCATAAATTTTTAAAGAGGATTCTAAAATGTCAGTAAGTTCAAAGAAGAATTTGTTTAGCCTATTGTATTACATGAAGTCGCCATCTTTCAAAAGTCATATAAACAAGACTAAGTTGAGGGGCTAATAAGGAAAAACTGAACTTGTTTAAGAACAGAATTTGTTGGGCAAGCAACTTTTTTGACATAAAATGTCATCTAGCCCAGCCCTGGGACCAACTGCCCACTGGAGACCCATCTGTGTTACCCACAAGTAAGTGTTCCCTGTGCCCAAGTCCTACTCGCATAGCCAATATCCCATCCCCAACACAAACTATCCCCACTTCAGCCTCCAGCCCTGGCCTTTCTCTGCCAAAGCCAAAGGTTACCATGCAGAGATGTGGTCTTAGAGCCCCTCACAGCAGCTTGTGAATACTAACTCTGAAAAAGGAAAGGAGAGGAAATAAGGCATCAAAACCAGAAGAGGCAAAGGGCATCAGTTCACGAGTCAGAGCCACCTGACAAGTGAGCAGGGACTGCTTTGAACACCGAGTTGAAAAGGATGTTGGGGTCTGGACCCAGCAGAAAGGGGGTTATGCTTGAGAACAACTTTAAAACACAAGAGAACCCAGGCTTTACTTTGATGTGCTCCGTCACAGCCCATCCCCTCCCAACAGCCCCTGGCACACATTCATCATCAATCTTTTCCTAACAGGAAACAAGTTGGTGTAAATGGTTCTCTTTGGAGCTCAAATGTGAAACTGAACATAATGAGGACAAACTGCTCATTCAGAACAACAGCGCAGAAACAAGGGAGGGAACCCTCCTGCCACGAGAATAGCTCGAGGAGTCTGCGTGAATCTAGGAAGTTATCTCCAACCAAAGCTCCCTGGCTGCCTGTTTATTTAATGTCACACTGTTGTGCCAAACAAACAAGCAAACAAACAAAACCTTACAAGGGGTTAATGCTGGACAATCAGGTGTGGTCTTACCTTAAGTGCTAGCTCCCCTTTGAGTCTTTGGGAGAAAACGGTTTACAATATTTTAGTTGAATGTTTAAGACTTGCATTCGTGAAGATTCAGCCCACTATCAAAGAAAGCTGAAGCCTAGACCAGGCCTGAGCTCACAGAGATTCTGACAGCTCTAGGAGGCCTGAGGCTGCCCTAGCTATGTCCTGCTTATTAGGACTCACTTCACTACACAGAGACTGTGACATACAAGAGTCTTAGTGTTTGACCAGGCTCCAAGCGTGGGGAGATCTTAGAACATGGTTTTCTTCCTGCCGGCCCTGATGTGATCCTCCCGTTAGGCAGTTCACAGACCCAGGCTGTTGTCTGAAGAAACATATGGGAGAGAAGTGCTTCTGTGCCTCCCCGAAGGGATTTACCTGCCCTACCTAGTTCAATAGGCCCTGACAGCAAAGTTTTTGTTCACAGATTTCAGGAAGTACAGGTAGCAGACCTTAAATTCTCAGCTCATAACCAATTGTATATAGGGAGTGTTAATGGTCACTGGACATCAGGAAACATTTACTTAAGCAATTGTTTTGGCAGCCAGTCAGGAATTCAGGAGGCATTCTAAGCTACTGATCATTGCTGTGACAGTTCAATATGTGAGAAAGGCATCTGGGAGCCTTGTAAAAGTGCAGGATGTGCAGTGCATCAAAGACTTGTCATCTCGCATTTGTCTTGAGCTTTCTACTGTAAGGCAGTATATGATTTTAAAGAAGAAAAAAAATACCCATCCATCCATAGTATACAAAACAAAGTTCCAGTGTACTCACACAGTAGATAAGCGTAACTCAGAAGCAATGCAAGAAATAAAACCCATTCTTAAACTCTCCTTGGTCATGTCCTTCACAACTCATGCAGGGAAAGTAGATCACAATGTCATGGATCAAAATCAGCCTGAGAATGTAAAAGTTAAGGCAAATACAGAAAACTTAAGTCTCAGGGATTCAAAACAGAACTCAGAAGGTACAAACACTGGCACTTACTCACAAAGCTGCGCAGAGAAAGCCTGGGGCTGTCTGGCCTTGGATTTTCTGCCTGAAAAAACAAACATGCCAAAATGATAACAAGTAAATGGTTATTCACAGCTTTTATTTGAAATATCTTTAAAAGATACTGCTTTGGAGAAGATGGCCCAAATACCTGGGCCCCTGCACCAGCGTGAGAGATCCAGAAGCTCCTGACTCCTGGCTCCCAATCGGCAAAGGCTCCCGCCATTGCGGCCATTTGGAGCGTTAACCAACAGATGGAAGACCTTTCTCTGTGTCTCTCCCTCTCACTGTCTGTAACTCTACCTCTCAAATAATAAATAAAATATTTTTTAAAAGATACTGCTTTGAAATAACCAAAAACATAGTATTTGACTCAATTTTTTTAAAGATTTATTTATTTATTTGAAAGCCAGAGTTAGAGAGGGAGGGAGAGAGAGAGACCTATCTTCCATTGGCTGTTTCACTCCCCAATGGCTGGGGGCTGGACCAGGCTGAAGCCAGGAGACAGGAGCTTCTTCTAGGTATTCCATATGGGTCCAAACACTTGGGGCATCTTCCACTGCTTTTGCCAGATGCATTAGCAGGGAGCTTGATAGGAAGTAGAGCATCCGGGACACAAACCAGCACCCATATGGGATGCTGGTGTGCCAGGCCATAGCATAACCCCTAAGTCACGAGCTGGCTCCATCTCAATGATTCTTTTCAACTTGTACTACCTTCTGTTTTCTCATTAAATAAATTTATGTCTGTTTATTAAAAATCACTTAGGTAAATGATGGAATGACCAAATATCTTCAAAACACTACTGATGTTTAGATATAAGCACACTTGTATATCTTACCAATAGATCAACACCACCAATTTTCCTTAAGTTGGTAAAGCAATGTATTTTATTTAAGAGGCCTTTTTAGGTTGCCTATTCTATAAGTTCATATAAACCTCTGAAAATGTCTGACCTAACAACTCTGCCTTCTTTCTTTTACACTTATTCCCAACTACATCTACTTTGCCTTCAGGAAGAAGGTCCAAAGATTCCAGAACAGATGGACATGTCACAGCCCCAGGAGTGACAAGTGAAATTATTGCCCAGCTGAAATTGTTAGGGCCTGGCCATCCCCAGTGGAGTAACTCTTTTTGGGTTGCCAGCGTAGCATGTAAAAACTCAGGATGCGACTGTTGATGAACAACTTAATACGTTATCCCTCTTAGTATTTTTTTTGTCTGTTCTACTTAATACTATTGGTTTAATTCTGTAATTAATACACAGTTATTCTTAACTGCTGAAACTTAACTGAAAAGTGATCCCTGTTAAATATAAGAGTGGGAATAAGAGAGGAAAGAAATGTACAATTTGGGACATGCTCAAGTTGACTTGCCCCAAACGGTAGAGTTAGAAACATACCAGGGGATTCCAATTCAATCCCATCAAGGTTGCATGTACCAATGCCATCTCACTAGTCCATTTGATCAATTTCTGTTCACAATTGATCATAATGATAGGACTAAGAATCAAAGGGATCACATAAACAAGACTAGTGTCTGAAAATACTAACCGATAGAACAAAAAAGGGAGAGAACGATCCAACATGGGAAGTGAGATACACAGCAGACTCATAGAATGGCAGATGTCCTAAACAGCACTCTGGCCTCAGAATCAGCCCTTAAGGCATGCGGATCTGGCTGAAAAGCCCATGAGAGTATTTCAGGCATGGAAAGCCAAGACACTCTGGAAAAAAAAAAAAAATGACCTAAAGTGAGATCCCAGTGGAAAGAACGGGTCATCAAAGAAGGAGGTACCTTTCTCTGAAGGGAGGAGAGAACTTCCACTTTGGCTATGACCCTGTCTAAATAAGATCGGAGTTTGCGAACTCAAGAGGCTTCCATAGCTTTGGCAACTCATGACAAGAGCCTAGGGTGATTACTGATGCTATAAACAAGAGTGTCAATTTGTTAAGTCAACAACAGGACTGTGCTCTTACTCCTCATGTAGGATCTCTGTCCTTAATGTGTTGTTCAATGTGAATTAATGCTATAACTAGTACTCAAACAGTATTTTACACTTTATGCTCTATGTGGGTGCAAACTATTGAAATCTTTACTTAATATACACTAAGCTGATCTTCTGAATATAAAGATAATGGAAAATGAATCTTGATGTGAATGGAAGGGGAAAGGGAGCAGGAAAGGGGAGGGTTGCAGGTGGGAGGGAAGTTATGGGGGGAAAGCCATTGTAATCCATAAGCTGTACTTTGGAAATTTATATTCATTAAATAAAAGTTAAATAAAAACCTCAGGATGCTCTGTCACATCTGAATTTGAAATAAACAATTTTTTAGTGATTGTGTACCCAGAGGTCAAGTTTAACCGGGTACCCTCCTTTATCTGACAACCCTGCTTCCCTCCACAATGTGGTCCTGTGTACGCTACGCACAGGACTCCCCTTTCTAGCATCCTGTTGAAAAGACTGCAATGTAAGCAGACATGAAGTTGAAGAAAAAGGGTGCCTACACCTCCCTCCTGAGGGCCTCACACTTTCAAGTGCTTTCAGACCTTCAAGTGCTGTTCTGCACTGCTGGCAGGATAGGTCCCTCGGGTGGGGGTTGGCAAAAAGGCGGTGTTGCATGGAGCTTACTAACACACAGGTCCCATGGTACTTCTTCATCATCATCATCATCATCATGTGTTCTCCTTTTGGAGCCTCTGTTTACTATTTGCCAGCAACCAAGTCTGACAGGCATGCTGGTTGCCTCCCATGAAGACAGAGACCCCATTTTTGGACCTGGCTCAAAAATATTAAAACAAAAAATCCAACCCACCAGTTATTTTAGAATATACTCAACAAGAGTCCTCTGAAAACAACTGGACTTTTTAAGGTTGTATTCACTCTTCTTAAAAAAAAAAAAAAAAATTCTTTCTCCCCGGAGCCAGGAGAAAGCTACTGCTTTCTCTTTTACTTCCTCTCCAGCTCTAAGATATTGGGCTCATCCCCTTCTCTGGATGGACCTATCTCAGTAACGAAGCTCTCATTCAGCAACACACTGTCTTCTAACACCTGTAGAAAATAAGCTTAGGGGAAAAAAGATCAACCACCAGGGATCCTGAAAGGTTTAATTATTGCCTAGAAAGCAGCACCCTTTCAAGGCATCTGTAAGACTGATTTTCATAATTACTTACTGATTGAAACTGGGACTTGTAACAGGGTAAGCTCATTTCCATATTAATATTAGGTCATGATTAATGCAGCTCAGGACCCAAGCCTAGGATCTGAAAGCACAGACTAAGTGAAAATTAAAGAAATTTAACCCATGGGGGTAAATTGGCTACCTATCTCTCAAATAGTTTTCCATTCATTAACCAGGTGTGTGTGCTCCAAGATAGCTCACACAGAGGCAGTTCCCAAGAGAGGCCAGAAGTAACACGAGACCTCCTCACACTTGTTCACTCCTTGCCTTCTGATTCTCTCTCTCTCCCTGGGTCTCCCCTGCTGCTTCTGATGCCTGCTTTGCATTTCCTGTCTATGTGCCTGCTGTCTTTCTCTCACTGTCTCTGTGTCTCACTGTCTGCCTCTGAGTCCATCTCTGTGTCATCTGTGTGTCTCTCTACCTATGGGTCCGGCTCCTAGCTATCTTTGTCTCCCTCTGCCTATGTGTCTCTGAATGTGTTGTCCCCTTCTGAGTCTCACAGTCTCTATGTCTCTGAGTCTGTTTCTGGGTGTCTCTCTGTACCTCTCAATCTATTTTCTCTGTGTCCTCTGAACGTATCTCTATCTCTTAGCAGTCTCTCTGTGTGTCTACCTTGTCTCTGCTTTCAACATCCTCCACTGATCACCCCCTCAGCCTCTGGCTGTCACACTGCCATTTCTTTCATTTGCTTGAGAAATCTAACTCAGCCTTGTGCTCTCTCACTCGGCCCCAGTCACTGCTCCCACTTCCTCTCTCCCACCCCACAGAATCCAATGACTTTAACATAAAACACAGGCAATAATTAACCAGACTAGCTAGGAGTAAATAATTTTTATTGTTCAACCCAAGTGAACACAAATCACTAAGCACTGCTGTGCTTAACCAAACTCCCCTGTGGAAAGAAAAACACCCCAGCTACACATACACACTAATTTTCACTGCGAGAATTAAATGTCTTCAACTATGTTTATTTGAGAGCACTGCATTACATTGGACTGTATACTACCCTTTTAAAAAGGGAACTGTCCTTTGAATTTCAGTCTTTATCTTAACATTTCTGATATGATTTCCATGTCATATTCTTCTAAAACAAGAATTCTAACATTAAAAATCGCATGGTAAGTCAAACTAACGATATAATCATCATTTTCTCTATTTATTTATTTATTTTTACAGGCAGCATTAGACAGTGAGAGACAGAGAGAAAGGTCTTCCTTTTCCATTGGTTCACCCCCCAAGTGGCCACCATGGCCAGCGTGCTGTGCTGATCCAAAGCCAGGAGCCAGGCACTTCCTCCTGGTCTCCCATGCGAGTGCAGGGCCCAAGCACTTGGGTCATCCTCCACTGCACTCCCGGGCTACAGCAGAGAGCTGGACTGGAAGAGGAGCAACCAGGACAGAATCCGGCGCTCCAACCAGGACTAGAACCCGGGGTACTGGCGTCGCAGGCAGAGGATTAGCCTAGTGAGCCGCGGCGCCAGCCCATTTTCTCATTTTGATAGCTATTTTTTGGAGTCTCCTTGATCCTCATCCTTGTTAAAAACTCTTTAATAAGCAGCAATAAAATGACATACAAACTGTGCAGCCACACATGGTGGATTCAAGATCACACATTGCCATCAAATTACAAGTTAGGCCAATCTATTGACCAGGATCAGAAATAAAATTAATGAATGCAAAAGATACATATGTTCATAGTTTCTGTAAATGTTTAATTTTAAACATTTAAAGTAAAATCTATTTTTGTTTATTCTTCTATGTGTGAGCTAATGAATGCTCTCAGAATACCAGTTTGCGGGCAGGCATTGTGGCACAGTGGGTTAAGCCACCACTTGCAACACCTGTATCCCATATCAGTGCCAGTT